ATATACAATTTTTCTTTTGTAGGGTCAATATTATCTTTTGTTGTATATTAGAACTCAAATATGTTAACTAGCAAAATATCAATCAAGTTACTCAAAAAGAGAAAAGAAAAAAATTATTGAAATTTTATATGTCTCAAGAGCAGCTCTTAATAATTTTATAACAAACAACAAGAAAAATAAACAAACAATATGGGAGAGTGTTCTACATATGAACAACTCCCATTTTATTTGAATAAGATGATAATGAAACTCAAATAGAAGAACAATTTTTTTTCTCAAAAAGAACTAAAATAAATAAATATAAGGTCTTCTATTTATTAAAAGCTTGGCGTTAGATCACCAATTTTATTGAGCCACCACCTCTGCATAAAAGCATACTCCATATCTAGGACTGTTCCAAGTTTCGTCTTCTAAGGAATTCAATGATGCATCTTCTGATAGGAGCAAAGACAGTTTTGAGAACCAATATCATCTGCTAGGCAAGGAGGCAGAGTTGTTCCAATCTGGTACCATTTTTCCCTCTCCAGCATTAAATCCTTAAGAAAACTGTCTGTTGTTTCTCTTGTGATACCTGGCATGACTACAACATGTGCCATATCTCTTGTGCAAGACAGTTGCCAATGACGAATGAACTTAGGGTCATTAGGTCGTTCAAATACAACGATAATGCTAGACTCATTGAGCATAGCGCTAATTCCTGCTTTGTGAAGTCGGCTTTTCAAATATCGGGCATTTTCGTTGCATATTTTCGCATCTTCTTGCAATCCAGCACGGCCTTTCATGCATAAACTGTACCATAAGAATATTGGTGCCAGGCCATTTCGACTACCAGAAATTGTAGCATCAACTGAAGCAATATACTCGATTTTTGTGGAGAGACTAGTAATGTAACGTTTCCTTGTTATCTGAATGCCACAAGGCATTGGACATCCCAGGAATTTGTGGCCTGAAATTGAAACACTGCCTATTGGCTTCTTGAAGGTAATTATTTTCGCCTGTTGTCAAATATAATAGAGAACTAGGTCACTTTCTATATGTTCCCTAGATGGAAAGTTATTTATTTCAAGAACATAATGGATTAAATAAATCTTACGTGTTGGATAAATGGGATAATTAGCCCATATAGTGCAGCGTCACAATGGATGTAATACCTATCATTGGAATAACCACATTTTTGAAGTATTTGTAAGATCAGATCAAGATCATCAATAGCTCCTTTGATGGTAGTTCCTACAAATATATGTTAAAAGTATTAGTACTTTGATCCACATATGAGAATCAGGGCAGAGCTACAATATTAGGTATGGGTTCAAATGAACTTAATACCTTTTGCTTAGACCTTATATTTATATTTAAAAATCTATTAAAATATATATAAATTATTAATTACGATCAAACCCAGCAACTAAAACAAATTATGAATTTAGTGGCAAGTTAGAATACATAAACTTTAAATCATGGCTCCCATCTGATGAGAACTGGAAGATTAATTGACCATATTAAAGCTCGGGAGCTAAAGAATCTAAGAGTATTATAACCAATATTGACATTGATGATGGCTGGTTTGTTCTTGTTGAGAAGTAACTTTGATCTCAGATCAGCATAATCAATCTCCCCATTAACTAAAGTATTGATAGTCTCTATCTCCATTCTGTACATTTTTGCCGCTTTAAAAATCGAGTAATGTGAATCCTTTGATGCATATATTATCCCAGTGGGATGTAACTCTCTCCTGCACAAATATTATTGAAATGGTAAAAGTGAAATACATCATTTGAATATGAGGTCTCTAAATGTGTACAATACTCTTTTTTAGATCAAGTATAAATATTGTAGAATATCTCCAAGTACAAAATAGGTCTGTCACACTATTCTATAACAACAATCACGTCTCTGTCCCAAACAAGTTATGATTGATTATATAAATCTTCACGGATGACCTTACTTCATTTAATACTATACCTACCCAATCAAAAGACCATGGAGATTTCCCTCTGTGCCACCATTTGTAATGTATCCCCAATATTCATCCTTCTCAATTTCCCATAGTTGCGCAAACCAATCTAAAACAGCCACTTCAAAATCTTTTGAATGGAAATCGACAGTGTTCTGAGTGAAGGGATCTCCGCAGTTGTTCAAGTGGAATTGCAAAAGTGGAGCTAAAACAGTATGATGCTCGTAACATATATTAACTGGATAACCTGTAAAGAAACCAAGTTAAAGAGCCTAAATTTAGATATTTCTTTTTTTTTTTTTTTTAGATTTTCCACCCGGTGTCCGGTACCGCAGTGGAGCCCGACTATATCCAGATTCGCGCCGCGTAGGGCCCCTTTCGGGGGAAGCGCTCCCTACCAAGGATTTTTCCATACCCAGGGCTCGAACTCGAGACCTCTGGTTAAGGGAGGAGCAGTTCCATCCACTGCACCACATCCTTCGAGAAGAAGTATGACTAAAAAAGTTGTTTTTACATTATTCTTGAAATAGTTTCTCTAGTTCTCCTTGTAAATTAATGTTGGCACATGTATGAAATTAACTAATAATCTATATATTTTTTAATTAACTAGTCTTAAGGTACGCGCGTTGCACGTGCACTAAATTTAGCTATAATAAGTTAATTGTTGCTATAAGCCGGATAAATATTGTTTTAAATTGTGTTTGACTATAAATTGAAAGTATAATTAAATAAATAGAATTAAAACTTTTGGTCAGATGGAGCACGAAAGAGGTTGCATAATTTCTTATAACTTTTAAAAGATGATAAATTTGTAACTCAATAAAAAGTAAGAAACTATTTTTGCAATTTATAATCTAAGAATAGGCTAATGTTGGACCAATATTCCATAAAAAATAACTAAAATATAAAGACTTAAAATTAGATACTGTAGTTATATTAGATTAAGAAAGAACCATAATTTCTCATACCCTAGAATTGCAAGTAATAAAGATCAACATAATTAGGAAAAATATATAATTATGAAACATTTACTCATATAATTAACTTTTTTTTATTTGAATTGCATATCTAATCATGACTCATTCTTTATTGCAGTTGAACAATATATTTAAATCTGGTTAAACGGATCTTTTGAACTTCAAATTTTATCGTAAATTATTATTTGTACTATACCAATCTTTTGAAGTTAACCAATGCCAATCACTGCAAAAGCTAACCTCAAAGTTCAAGTTCTTCTATATACTCAAACTTAATGCTACTTTTTTATTATTATAAAATATTAAGAAAAAATTAAATGGTGAATTATTTCACTTAAAAATATTCTAAAATAAATGACAACCCCAAATCTATCCTAGTTTATATCTTCAGATGAAGACTTAAAGTGTTTAAATTTGGTTGGGATAACTCAAATTATATTTCATGATCTCTCATTTAATACAAACTCAGTACTACACCACTTGTTATTACTATGAGTTTATTCATATTAATCGACTGTAGTACGTGAAAAAATTAGCATCAACATAAAAAAAAACTAAAATGTATTAAGATGGTCAAAATTTCATAACAATAAAAATGATAATTTTGAAGTAAAATTCAAAGTCTTAAAATCTTTAGTAAATATTTAGTTCACTTGAATTTTCAAATAATTATAATATCCAACTCAAACTTCTAAAATTTGTCAGAACGGTGAACTTACTTTGAAGTTTAGCTTTGCTTTGAAAGGTGAATACGACATTTACCTAATGAAGTTTTCTTACTAAATAATTAAAACATGAGATAGGAATTAGGACTCCTAAACCTAAAAGGAAGGAAAAATAGTCCTAAATATTAGTATAAAAATAATTAAACATTTATTTATAAAATAATCATCTGTAAATCTTTATGAAAAAAATTATAAATTAATAAAACTGATATACATGCTTACTAAAAATTGATGTCATAACAGACGAAGCTTGCTTAACTTTAATAACTTTAATATCTCTTACATAGATTGTACTTATGTTTGATTTTTTTTCCTAAGAATTTAAACTCGTGTGCGACCAACAATTCTAGTTGCATTATAATTTCTAATTAACTATACGTACAATTTTCAAATAATATTAAAAAGTACAAGTTTATTTTATTTTGATTTTTTAAATATTAGGAATTTTTACATAGTTCAAATAAGGAATATAAAATAAGAAAAGATTCAATAATCAAATTTTAGCCCATTTTAAAATCCTAAATATTAGGAATATAATTAAATTACAATCTTGTCCGGATGTATACTCAATTTTAAAAAATTAAAAAAGACAAACAATATTTCGCTAAGAACATTCATACTTTTAATATAATATAAATATAAATAATAGACTTCAAAAATATATTGCATGCATGTGTACCCATTAGTTGTCATTGGTACTGTTAGTTGTCGGAAGTACACAATACTACAAGTTGTGCAGCATATACAAATTTTGTCACACTTTCTCTTCATGAAATATTACATGACCATTTTCATTTATTCCAAAAATATCCTTCAATTATAGTCAAATAGGTATGATTCGTAAAAGACGGTTCTAGTAACTCAAGGAACAGTTGAATAAGCATGAAAAACTTTAATTTCCTATGTGTCCACCCTGACGAAGAGAGAGCTTGAGATCAGGGTAGATCTAGTGTAAAGGTTCACGTAAAATCAGTAACTTTTATATAAATTTTATATTTGTACTAAAACCTCATTAAAAGTATAAGAATATTTAGTTTGGAACTCAATTCATTGGTCCAGTTATATGCATTCTAACAACAGCAAATCAAACAAGAAATTCTTTGATGAGCAAATGTATTGATTAAAGTGATTGCATTACTGTACGTGTAGTTAAGCACTTGCCCAAATTAAGTCTCTTTATCGTACTTCATGCAGCTATATAGTTGTTGATCTCGCATCTATCCAAAGATATTTAGCCTTACACTCTATAGACCTTAGCTTACTAGTCTTTTAATTTTATTTTGTTAAATTGTGTATAAAAGTTAAATTTATGAATATTAGACAAAAGGCCACTGAACATATACTTACCTATATGATATTCTGTCCGATGCGACAATGTCTCTAAATATTGAGTCAAAATTCTTTCTAGTTCTTGCGAAGACGTTTTAATATCTTTATCATTAAGTTCCACTACACTGAAACTCAGATTCTTTCGTGGTGGCGGTGGCGGTGGCGCGTTGATTTCACCTTTTGTTGGGACAACCATTATGTCAAACTCCTATCTCATAACCACAAAAGAAGAAATTTCAATTAAAGGTATATTATTTTGAAATGAAAGAAAGAATATATATGTTAATAAATAATTTATCATAAAGAATACAAGTGAGTTGGGTCGTCTTTGAACTTGAGTATGAAAGAAAATAATATTGAAAAAGAATTGAGCATGAATAGTACGTACCCTTTCAAATCCCATTCTTAGAGCTAAAGAGGTAATCTCTATCTGAAATTGTTGGGATTAGTCAGAATGGTCTCAAATAGATGAAGGTTTTGCGCATCTCACTTCTTTTGGTTCCTCCAATTTATAACAATTGAAAGTTTCTTTCCCTTCTTAACTTTTGTTTGGTGAAATCTTAAATTTTTCCTCTGTGAGTTTGGGAACGTTAAAGGAAATTAAAATGTCTTACATGGAAATGAAAAACGTGACCCTATAGATAGTGGTCCAATTTTTCCTCCACGTGAGCTTTGTAAAAGATGTTCTTCACCTTTAGGAGAGAGGGAAGATGTGGATAATTTTTTATGTTACGTTTGAGATCAGAATTTGAAATTTTTGAGTTCTGAATTTTAGGTGACAACTAGTAATTGGATTCTAAATTTAATTTTCATATATATATATATATTTAATATATTTATAAATACAAATATACGGTTTGAACTAAAGTATAAGTAACCTTCTTGTTAGGATCGAAAAAGTCAGGTGTCATGCGGAAGCTAGTAAAGCAAACGTTGAACGACGATAAACCACACATAACAAAGAGAAATCTGCCAAAAGAGACACAAACATTTAACGTGGTTCGGTCAACTTACCTACGTCCACGGCGGAGATGAGCAATCCACTATAATAAAAGAGAGTACAAAATATCGAGAGAACAACCTCACGAAGAGGCAAATACAAGTGACATACTAACACTTGTCCCGTAAAGTTCTCCCCCTAAACAAGACTCTCAAGCCCCCTATGGCTACATTGTGGATGCTACTCAATGTGAAAGAAGGATCCTCAATTTATAGAAGTTCAAACCTTTTCCTACAAGAAAAAGGACTAGCCAAATATTGGAGATTTATAATTTCCTTTTACAAAAAGGAAAACCCAGTTAAGGTAATTATATTGCCCTTTTCCTTCAAGAGATAGGAAAACCAAATATGGTAAGAAAATTATGGCAAACGCCTAACAATTCTCCCCCTTGGCCTGAATTTTCTGACAAAATAAACTTGATCCATCTTCTTCACGTAGCCTTCAACAGGTCGCATCTCCAGATCTCCGCCACAAAGTTTGTCTCAACGTGCGTAGCACTCCGGTCAAATTTCTCAGACAAAAAATCACGATTATCGTCAAATATGTTGCAGCTAGAACTGAACACGCCAAGATGAACCTGTCTTGAACCTCGCTCGAAGCTGGCTCTGATACCACTTGTTAGGATCGAAAAAGTCAGTTGTCATGCGGAAGCTAGTAAAGCAAACGTTAAACGACGATAAACCACACATAACAAAGAGAAATCTGCCAAAAGAGACACAAATATTTAACATGGTTCGGTCAGCTGACCTACGACCACGGCGGAGATGAGCAATCCACTATAATAAAGAGAGTACAAAACATCGAGAGAACAACCTCACGAAGAGGCAAACACAAGTGACACACTAACACTTGTCCCGTAAAGTTCTCCCCCTAAACAAGACTCTCAAGCCCCCTATGGCTACATTGTGGATGCTATTTAATGTGAATGAAGGATCCTCAATTTATAGAAGTCCAAACCTTTTCTTACAAGAAAAAGGACTAGCCAAATATTGGAGATTTATAATTTCCTTTACAAAAAGGAAAACCCAGTTAAGGTAATTATATTGCCCTTTTCCTTCAAGAGATAGGAAAACCAAATCTGGTAAGAAAATTATGACAAACACCTAACACTTCTTACTCGGTCCCTTGATGCTGGTAATTAACTTGATATCATACTATTAATATAGGTTCGTAGTTTATGATCAATTCTAAAGGGGCAAATTAAGAGTATTTTAAGTCATTGTCGCAAAGAGGTAATTGGTTCAATAGTACTGTATTGGGAAAAATTGTATTTATATATATATGGTAACATGTCATGACACATAGACTGATCAAACAGTTAAAGAATTAAGGTTGGTTAACAGACACGAGCAACAACAGATACGAGCAGCAACATATAGGAGTAAGTTAAATAAAGAAGGCACGAGCAGTCATACAAATAATTCAACGCTCGTACCTATTCAAGACATTCAAAGGTTAAAGATCGAGAAGAGTCAAAGGAATGAATCTGACAGCAAAAAAGAGCTCAGATACAGCATTTAATGAGTATTAAATGCTAGAAACATTAGAGAATATGTATTTAATCCATATAATTGCAAAACATAACATTTAAGGTCATTAATTACCCATAATTGTCTTATTATGACAAAGGTAAAGTCTGTATTCCCAAAACGGCTATAAAAGGGAAAGTCACAAACAACTGTAAGGGGACGAAAAAAAAACACTACTGAAATATACTTTGATTAATTTGCTTTCTGATTATATCATTCACAAATCTCTTTCTTATATACTTTTTTCCGATTATCAGTAACCCGAGTTCTTCTAAATTCAAGCTTTGACCTAAAATCTAATTTTCGGTTAAACAAATTGGTTTCGTCACCGGGAAGATGATAATCAATTATATCTCAACCTAATTTTCTTGATTGTGCCAATCATGTCGAACAACAATGACAACACTCAAGGAAACCCAGAAATTCAAACAATCCAGCAACTTCAGGGAGACTCTCCACGAGGCTCTCCACAAGGTTCTTCACGAGGCTCCCCACGACGGTCTCGTGAAGGCACTCCTGATGGATCTCACACAGATGGACAGACTCAATTCGAAAATGTTGAAACCATGAATGAGGCTTTGCAAAAACTTATTGCCTCTCAAGTCAATAAAGCTCTTCAGGCTTTTGTTAGCCAATTACCTGCTGCTCCACCCACATCTACTCCAAACAACAATACTTTGGAGAATCCTCATTCAGGATTGGTTAATTCAGGCAGCGGTAGAACCCCTAGTGAAACACAAGAGGGAGACCCAGGTAATCCAGTTAATTTTGATTTACAAAATCTAGTACTAACCTTGCAGAAACAACTTAAGGAGCAAAATGAACGCATAGAACAAATACTTGGAGTACCGCCCGTGATCAAGGGAGTAGATATAGATAAATATTCCCAACAACCATGGAAGCCAAGTGCTGCCCCCCTCCCAATTCCAAAGAAGTTTAAGATGCCTGATATTCCAAAGTACGATGCTACATCAGATCCACGAGATCATGTTACTGCATTCACAACAGGTGTCAAGGGCAATGATTTGACTAAGCAAGAGATTGAGTCGGTCTTGGTCAAGAAATTCGGTGAAACACTCACTAAAGGGGCCTTAACATGGTATTCTCTTTTACCTAAAAATTCTATAAATTCGTTTGCTGAGCTTGCAGATTTGTTTATCAAAGCACACTCGGGAGCTCAAAAAATTGAAAAGAGAATGAAAGACATCTTCAAAATCAAGCAAGGAGATTCAGAGTTGCTTAGAGAGTTCGTAGATAGATTTCAACGGGAAAGAATGACGCTGCCACGAGTACCTGACAATTGGGCAGCCATAGCCTTCGCTAGTAATTTGAATGAGAAGAGTTCAGAAGCCACGAGGCGACTCAAAGAAAGCCTTCGAGAATTCCCAGCAACAACGTGGAATGATATCTACAACAGATACAGTACAAAGATGAGGATTGAAGAAGACATTATTTTACGACATAAAACAGGAGAAAAGGTAAGCTCAAGGCATGTGGAAAATGAAAAGAGATCCGGTAAAAACAGGTACGAGCCATACATGGGACCTGCGGGAAAAGACTCACGATCAAGGCAAGATAATCAAAGGTACGGTCACAAACCTAGAAACAGGGAATCAGGCTCCTCATCGAGGTTCGTAAATGATCGGAACACACGCGGGTCACGAGACGATGATGGAAGTCTAAAGGCAAGGTTCGGTGGTTACAACTTCAATGTAAGCACCTCTGAACTCGTGGCTGTTTTAAGAAGCATGGGAGATAAGGTACGATGGCCAAAGGAAATGCGATCAAATCCGAACAGACGAAACCCTGATCATTGGTGCAAATTTCATAACGATCACGGGCATAAAACAGCAGATTGCAGGCTTCTGCAAGGTGAAGTTGATCATTTGTTAAAACAGGGGTATCTTACTGAGTTATTCAGTGAGAAAGGTAAACAAACATATATGAAGAACAGGCAGGAGCCTCCAAAACCACCTTCGCCCAAGAGAACTGTCAACGTTATAAGTGGGGGTGAAGAGATCAACGATGTATCATATAAAAAGGTTTCAAAAGTAACAATTACCAACGTTTAGCGGCCTCGACATGTACTGGAAGAGGAGAATGTTATATTTAACGACGCAGACGCCGAGGGACTCATAACTCCGCATAACGACGCACTGGTAATATCTTTACTTGTACATGACACTAACGTGAAACGAGTTTTGGTTGATCCAGGTAGTTCTGTAAACATTATTTTAATACGAGTATTGCGCGAGATGCAAGCGGAGGATAAATTAATTCCAAAGGCCCATACTTTGTCGGGATTTGATAACTCTAGTGTTGTAACAAAAGGGGAGCCAATACTTACTACATTCGCAGAAGGCGTCGTTAAAGATGCCAAATTTCAAGTCGTAGATATGGAAATGGCTTACAATATGATTCTTGGGAGGCCATGGATTCATGACATGGAGGTTGTTCCTTCAACCTTACATCAAGTTATTAAATTTCCATCTCCATGGGGAATACGCCAAATCAGAGGCGATCAACAAACATCTAGAAGCATCAATTCCGTTGCAGATTCAATTGTTAATGGTGGAGACAAATAGCAATTACAGAATTTAGGTGAGGGTAACACGGAGTCAACCTCACTTGAGCAAAAGCAAATAGATGTGGATTCGAGACCTGACACCATTCAAGAACCGGAGGAGAACGAGAACATCAAAACAACGATAGAAGAGCTAGAGGCCGTGGTGTTATTTATACATTGGCCCGAGAGAAAAGTGTACATAGGAGCTAATCTTAGCCCGGAGGTAAAACGTAACTTGATTGAATTTTTAAAAGCTAATGCAGATTGTTTTGCTTAGTCCCATTCTGACATGACAGGGATATCACCGGAAGTCATGACTCATAAATTGAATGAAGATCCATCATATCCTCCCATCAAGCAAAAGAAAAGAAAGCAAGGAACTTTCAAAAATAAGGTGATTCAAGAGGAAGTTCAAAAATTGCTAAAAATTGGTTCAATTCGTGAGGTAAAATATCCT